CAACAATTTGGATTCGGAATTACAGGCTTCCAAAGTAACACGACGTGCTTTCTAATTAGTGGGGAGATATTCTCTCTTTTAATGCTTCCCCCATGGACCAAATAGTCTATTTTGCATGTGAACGAACGCGCAGGATTTATTTCTAAATATAAGACTTAATTAGAAGATGAATAGTTTTGATTCTAACTATAATGCTGGATAACAAGATGGATAACCTCAACGTCAAGCATGTGGCAAATATGGCATCTGAACCATTAACATTAATTTTTTTAATAAAAAAAAAGTGAAATTGCTCCTTTTTTTTTTAAAAAAAAATACTTTTGGAGTGATATTGAGTAATAAAAAAAGATTTGGATACTCATAACTCTTTTACAAATATTTAAAGGCAAAAATAACTCTCCACTCTCTATTTTCTTTTGTTATATGTGATTGTATAAATAGAAGTGAGAATTTTAGAGGTGAGACTTCAATAAGCGCGTCATGGTCATATGACCAATGCTAGTGGAGAGGTTTCTTATTGATGATTAGATGTTAGATGGGCATTAATAAATCCATGAAAATAGAGAAATTAACCTTCGGTAGAATTATGATTCTTGACAAAATTGGCAGCCAAGCATGCAAGACATGGTCCATGATAATAAAGATGATTGGGAATCTGGATTCCAAAAAATCCGACTAAAACGGGGCCCTAAATCAAAATAAACGAGGACTTAGGATTTTGGAGGCTCGCTGCTTCAAAAGTAAAGAAATAAATTTCTCTTTGATGATCAGTTTGAAAGAAGTCATGTCCTGTTTGGTTCATTAGAAGTGAGGGTGTGAAAATTAAAATTAAAATGGAATCTTGGTAAATTATATGTTTGCTTCACGTGGGGGATCATGGAATTGGCCTCCACCATTGGAGGCAGCACAAAAATCCATTTGCATCATTCCTTAAACCATGCTGACCTTGGTAATTGGTAATGGTGAAGACCATAGAGACTAGAGAGGGCAATAAGGACAATGGCAATGGTGAGGATGATGGTGACCACGATGGCAATCGGACATTGGTAGATAGCAGGATTCAAATTCTTGATCTTGTGCGTTATGAACCGACTCCTTACTAACTGAACTAACTTTTGTTGGTTGCTCTAATTACTCTCTCTATGTACGTATATATTGAGAATTATCTAGATGCACTCTAATTTATTTAGGAACAAAAAAAAAAGAAACACTATAGTTTCTCTTTTCTTCTTTTATAAACAGAAGCATCTTTCATGGGCGACCCAATAGTAGAAGAAACAAGAGGAAGTATAATTGATGGTTAGAATTTGGAGGCAAGATGAAATGGAAGCGCTTGTGTCTACTTTTGTGATTCCTTCTAGTTATTAATACATGGCTAAGACTTTGTTTATAATCTATATATGAGATCTTATAATTAGAATCGGCAGTATCTTCCTTTGTTTTTTTTTTCCTGATTAAAAACAAAAGCATTATTAATTAGGATTAGATTATACAATAATAATTAGATCTTGAAAAATAATATTTCTATATAAGTATATATGGGTATAAAGGACGTGCGTTCTATGGCATGATGATGGTGGAAACATTAGAATAAGAAACGGTCTGTGGTGGCGGGTGTTGTGCAACATGATGTGAGGGCGCAGTGGAGGTGGAGAGGTTGCGGCGTAGGATAGTCCACCTCTTCTCCCTCCCTCGGTGTTTACCCGCCAAAATTGCGCGCCAATCAACTGTAGGGCCCACTTCCCCCGTTTCTGCTCCCTCACCACTCACCAGGGAAGTTTGCCCCCAATAATCAATGGGTTTTTTTCTTCTTCAAAAAGAACAACATAAACAAACACAAGATTAGAGAAAATCAAATCCATAATCCTTGCCTTTTATATTTTTAATTAATAAATTTAGAAACAGAATTCATGAATTATTTTTGACCTGAAGAGTTCATGAATTTATTACACATAATTATATTAAATTAAAGTAAGCCCAAGCATGCATATGATTTAAAAATAAGTTTTCAGATACAAAAAAGTTTATATGGGTCAGGTCCAAAGATTCATTAGGATTATGGTACATTTTCAGGCTCAGAAAGTATTTATAAAGACATTTACAGATCACCTATTAAGAAGGTCATTATATATTATAAATTACAGATTGTGAGATTCAAACTCACAATTTTATAAATTACAAGCCAACTCTTTAATAAATAAACTAACTCATATCGGCAAAAATAATTTTACCACAATGGAAATATAAAAGAGGGAGATCATAGTTATATATTGATGACAAATATATACTTTTTTATTAATTATGAATTAGTATATTCATAAGGCTTTGTTTTGCTCTAGATCACATGTGATTGAAGAATTTAATACAATAAATATAAAGAGTTTGATATAAATATTGTTGATTATACATTAATCAAAGATGGTTTTTTCACATATGTTTTTTTTTTTTTTGGGTTTGGGGTGGAAAAGGAGTCAAGAGAAATGACAATGACATATATATAATATAGCGTGATAATGAGAATTAATTAAAAAGTAAAAGGGATGGAAGGATCTGGGGAAGGGTTCACGGAACCGACCGCATCTGCCGCGTTTCATAAGGAGGCACTGATTCCCGATAGTGCCCAACGCTGACTCATCCATCCATATCTTCTGAATGCACATATCGTATCGTCGCCTTCTCATGAAAACAACCCCTTCTGACTTCTCTCTTTACAGCCATCTCTCATAGCCGCCGCTCTTCACCTTCATTTACTACATCACCATTCTTCTCATACCAAACCTACGGATTCCTCCTAACGTTAGTTATCTCGTACATAGTAAGTCACAATAAAAAGAAAAAAAAGATGTAAAAGTTCCAATCACCATTTTAAAGGGAAAATTACGATGAAATCATTAAAAAAGATAATTACTAAAAATCTGAATAATATTAAGTTTTAGAGTAAAAAATAATAATTTTTGAAACTTATTTTATAATTATTTTCTTTCTTGAGATCTTATTATAATTTTCTCCCATTTTAAATAAGTCCTGAACCGAACTTTACCTTTCTTGTACTACTTAATCCGGTTCTTTTCATAAGATCTTTTTAATTAAAATATACAGTTTAAAAAAATAGTTAAAATTATTTAAAAATAATAAATATGTAAAAATTAATTTTTTTTAAGTATGCCAATGTTCAATAAGAAGGCAAATAAGAGAAAAAAATACTGATACATTGATAATATGAAAGATGAAAGAGAATGTAGCATAAGAAAAAGACATAAAAAGAGAATAGAAAATTAATAAGAAGCAAAATTGGTAAAAACTTGTTTAATGTTTAGATACCTCTAAGTAAGATCTCATAAAAGGAGCGCACCAATTTAAATGTTGCGATCTTATAAAATAGACCGGAGGGAGTATTTACAAGTGACTTTCCATATGTTTGATAAAAAGAAAAAACTTTAAAACTCATTAACGGCGTCTAAATTAGCGTGTTGGGATCGTGTCTATTCTTTAAAAAAAAAAAAAGCCCTTATATTTCTATACTTTTTTTGAAAAATCCCAAAAAAGTGATTACTGAATTTCAAAATACCAAATCAGAAATTATTACAAAAATAAATTGTCATTTGCTCTTTAAATGTAGTCATTTTCTTTATGAGTGTAGTAACGATTAACGAATACTGATTTGGAATTTTGAAATTCAGCTATCACTTTTTTGAGATTTTCCCTCTTTTTTTTTTGCTAATTTAAAATCTCTGTTTTTTCTCTTATTTATTAGATCTCTTTCATCACTAGCATTTGTATATCGAAGCTAACGGTACTAATCAAATAAAATTAAAGAATTTAGTCAAAAGAAAAAAAAAATTACTTAAAAAAATTTACACACCTTTATTTTCAATCACTGACAGAAATACTGCCAAACTGTCTTTTTTTTTTTTTTGCCAGAGAAATATAGCTACATATAGCCTATTGAAAATTTATCATAAATCTTTTTTTAAAAGTGTATTTAACACCCCAATTTTTTTTAATAGTGCAATTATACTCATAATTTTCTTAAGGTCCTCAAGAGTAAAATTGCATTCCAAAAAAATAAGATCATAAATAAAATTATATTTTAAAAAAATATCACTAAAAAAATTGAGATGCTAAATGCATTTTTACCTTTTATTCTTTCTCGTCTCTAAAGAATATCTCTTCTAGTAAGTCCTAAGGGCTAAAAGAATGAATCCCTATGCATGTTTATGAAACAAATTTAGTTGAAGATATATCTTTAAATCTTTCTTGCCGAAAATTTAGAAAAAAAATAAAAATACTCAAGAAATGTAACATAATTTTTTATTTATTTTGATACCATAATCGGTCACACTAAATGCATTGATGTATTTATACGCATGTATCTGTGAAATCATAATTAGATCATGGATGGCATTGGTAAACAGCTTGTATTGGATTCTGCATGGTAAATGAATATACTCCTCCGGTCCTTAATATGGACTCAATTCTTGAGTTGGTTTGGTCCTAAATATAAGACCCATTTCTCATATTTATCAATTTTCTCTAAATTACCCCTATAGATACTCCCTCAACCATAATCAAGTAGCAGAGGGAGATGAGGTATTAAGAAAGTTAATTATGGTGTTTTAGGAAAAATGTGTCACTTTTCTTATAATTAATTAACTTACCTAACTTCCTTAATATAATCAAATTAGTTAAATGGGTCTTATATTAAGGACCGGAGGAGTATAATAGTTTCTACATATATTTTTTAATTCTTTCCAACATTATAGTAAAAAAAGTTTTATAATTCAAAAATAACGGAATTTTAAATGGGTATGAAATTGAAACGCGTAATATATGCGCACCAAACGGCACTTGATATTTCAACGAAACGTATGAAGGTACGAAGTACGAAGAAAAGGAAGAAGAGAATTGCGGGATTTCAGAGGAGAGTGGGGTCTTCGCGTATTTCCAGCATCGTGTAAAGAAAAAAGAAGATAGGAATTCGATTTTCTTAATTTTAATTTTCGTTTTCCCATTATATTTTGGTTGGAATGAGGAAGAAAAGAACGGAAATTTGTTTGCGTAACCAACCACTCTCACCGATTGGTTTCATCCTTCAATAGCAATTGCAATAATTATTATTAATATTATTAAAAAATTAATAATCGCTTCCCTCGATTTCCCAGTACCCACTTCCCCTCCACCATCTATTCTATATCCTCATTTCAATCGCATCTTCATCTTCATCGCCATCCTCATCTCGTATTCTCTAGATCTCTCTCTCTCTCTCCCCCTCTTTTCTTTACGTTTCGCTGGAAGGTTCTAAAAGATCATTCTTGAATCTTGATGCTCCTGTTTGGTCTGGTTTCTTTCCCGGCGATTCTCTTCTAGAAGTCTATTTAATTTCAATCTGGAGGTATTTTCTGGGTTTTTCCCTCCCCTTTGGTTGGTTTTCATGCTGAAGCTTTGTTTTTTTAATCGAAATATATGATTTGATAGGTTTGAAGTGGATAGCATTGTGGGTGCTTTCCCGATAATCCAAAGGGTGGAATATCAAGGTGGCGATGGATTCCACTTGCTGTTTCTGCTTCTCATGTTGAGTTTGTTTGGATCTTCACAAGGTATTTTCCATATTCAGAGGCTGGGTTTTCTTTGTTTATTCATAATCTGGCTCTTGTTCAACGCTTGGCTATGTTATTATTTAAGAAATCTTGATGGGTGTCCCTTTGGAATTGCCGTTCTTTCCGTTCTGATATTGCGATTATCAATTGTGATCTGATCAAAAGATTTTTCAGAGCTTTTTTCCTCCTCTTTGACTACTCACTTCTGATCTTCGTGTTGTAACCCTTTCCAGATAGATGAGGTCTAGGCTTGGATGTTTGAAAATGACAATATATTTGGATTTACGAAGCCCTCATATTTTACGCCATTTCTCTACTCGCGATTCTTCTCCTTCCCATCTTGTTTCCATCCATTTATAACTTTAGATTGTTAGACAGCCACTTAGAGACTCATCAATATCATCTCTTGAAAGATAAATAATGGACTTTTGGTTACCACAAGCTTCTATACATTTTTTGCTTTGAGATTTTTATGGACTTCTATTAGTTTTGTCTGTGAGTTGCTTCTAATTCATTAGTTTCACCTTATCTCATGTTAAATTGAAATGTAACCTATTGGTGGCATGCCAATTTCTGTTTGTACTACTTATCAAAAGGGCAGGAAAGAATGACCACAGAGTAAGAAATAACATTTAATATGCCAAGTTCTGGATTTGCCGGGTTTTGATAGCAGTTTTTTTCAATCGATATAATGTGCTTTAAGGAAAATAAATGAAAAATGCGTTCAGAAACAATAGTTGTATGTTTCAACTGGAACTAAGCATGTTGCGTCTGATCATGTGGAGCATTTCATGCTTGAAACATGTTTATAACTGAGAACTTGCCCAAAGACTTTCTCATAGAAATAAATTCCCCCCTTCAGCTTTTTCTGAAGTGGAATGCTGATAATTGGTTATAAGGCCAGGGATGTTGGTAAGGCCGGGGATGTTAACTCATTTATCTGGGGTATAGCCCAAGGCTCAACCAGTTGCATTTTTGTTATGTAATCATTAATCTAAGTCTAGATTTTGTGTTTCACTCCAAAAAGTTGTGGGAAACTTGGCATTCATTGCATTGTTCAGTTAATTGTATGAAAGTGATGACAGCCAGCATTTAACTTGGATACATTAAGGATCATATTTACCGATTTTTGTTAAACGTTATATGTTTCACTAATTAACTCCTACTTAAAAATTGTTACTCTTTTTGTGCCTTGTATTAAAAAAGGTTAAGGATGAATGTTGTAAATTGCTGTGTTTTCAAATGTTAAGGATGAATATTGTAAATTACTGTTTTATTTAAAGCATCTCTTTATTTTTTTTAACATCTGAATGATTCAAAAATATATAACTTGAAGATAAGATGTATTCTATGGGGTCTTCTTTTAATATTTAGTTTACTATATCTCTCCCTTTACTGAGCAGATTCCAAAATTAGCCTTTGATTGTGACTAAAACCAACTTAACTTTTCCTGTGGAGGAATCTTGTATGTTCCTGAATTTTGGTTCGGAGTTCATACTTCTTAGCTGTATGGTTTTTTCCACTAAGCTAGAGGCAATGGAAAACTTGCATCTCTACCTGGGATGGCTATAAGACATCAAAATTACTACCAAACTGCTTAAACTGATGTGTTCATTGAAATGTCCTGTACAAGACAACCAGCTTCTTGTCTCACGCTGCTTCCTTGTTTGAACTGTACTTGTAGTTCTTATTCTGCGTGGGGTTGGCAGTGCAGGAATCTTTCGGGTAGTTTAGCTTTTCATATTTTAAATTTTGGCTTTATTTACTCCCATTCTTTTCTGCCTGCAGATATTTGGCGGAAGCTTCCTTTCATTTCTTAAAAGACGTGTTACCTAAGCTTGGTAGGCATTCAACTGGGTAAAATGTTGGGGGGCAACAATGGAAATCCTGTTCTTCCTGTTTTCCTGGACGATGCTCACATGCAATATCAAACTAATGCAGCAAATCAACTGCAGCTGTTTGGGAACTGTGAGTTTTCTCTTGTCTTCTGATGTGATAATGAAATTGTCTGAATATTTTTGTCTGGAATATGTTTGCTTCACTTGTTATCTGTTTTCTTTGGCAATTTTTGTACTGTCTGTAGTTAGTCTTTTATCACATAACGGACATCACTTATTAGGATGAGACTTGTTGTTGTGTTGGTTGTGCTTAGTCTTATCACTGAATGATGAATGGAAAATACTTTTGCAGTACCTGCTGGTTGTAGTGTTGATCCAGTTAATTACTTCGGAAATGAGCATATTAGTTCTATGGTTCGGCCAACCAGACAAACCAGGGAAATAGATGACATGTCCAAGCAGCAAAGGCTTCAGATTTCCTTAAATTACAACTTCGGTCAAGATGAACCTGATCGATCGGCAAGTATTCCAAACCTAAACCCAAATCCAAATCCAAATCCAAATCCAAACCCTGTGTCAACAGGATTGAGGTTGTCCTATGATGATGATGAGCGTAACTCATCTGTCACTTCTGCAAGTGGAAGCATGACGGGCGCACCTTCAATTGTATTATCCCTTGGTGACAGTATTAGAACTGAGCTTGATAGACAGAAGCAAGAATTGGACCAGTATATTAAACTTCAGGTAATTTATTATGCTTTAGCTTTCTGTACTGTCATTTTAAAGTGTTGGTTGATGTCATCTAGGTGCAAAATCAGTTGTGTCATTGCAATTCTTTCTTATTGTGGTACATGCTTTTGTCTTTTATCCTTTTTTAATCATCTTGATTCCTATTTTAGCCCTTGCGGTTTATTCAAGCGTTATTAATTCCCTTTAATTTCATTATGAAGTTTGAGCAATTTTTTCCCTCTTTATACTATTTGTCGGAGCAGTTAAGTCTCTAATTTCATTAGATCAAACAATCCCCATAATTTGACCTTTGACCACTGCTACCTGATCTTATTTTAAATTTTAATGTACCCATGCATTGCAAGGGAGTCTACATTGAGTTATTTGAAGAAACTTGTAACGTGACTAACACAAAATTTATGTAATTCTAATTGCTATATCATAATTTAAACACACATTCAGGACTTAACAGTTGAAGCGCTGATTGCTCCATTGCACAGACATATAGACAGAAGTGGTACCTTGGTTATGGAATTGTCAATAAGGTCATGTATGTATACATATATATATTTGCACTCCTTTAACCCGTTGCTGTGATTCATTTCTACACAGAAGGAACAATTGTCAAAAGGATTGAGAGACATCAAACAAAAGCACATGGCATCTCTTCTTACTGCCATTGACAAAGGCGTAAGCAAGAAGCTAAGGGAAAAAGATATGGAGATAGAGAACATGAACCGTAGAAATCGAGAACTAGCAGAGAAAATAAAGCAGGTAGCCATGGAAGCACAAAACTGGCATTACAGAGCCAAGTACAACGAGTCGGTTGTGAATGTTCTAAGGAACAACCTCCAGCAGGCTATCTCACAGGGAGTTGAACAAGGGAAAGAAGGTTTTGGGGACAGTGAGGTTGATGATGCTGCCTCAGGCATTGACCCCAATAACTTGCTGAGCATCCATGGCGTGCCGATGAAATCTACTGGAAAGAAGCAGCAAGGCTCGGAGGATCACATGATTTGCAGGTCATGCAAGGCAAAGGAGGTTTCAATGTTGTTAATGCCTTGTAGGCATCTGTGCTTGTGTATGGACTGTGATGCTTTTGTCAGTGTTTGTCCTGTATGCCAAATGATGAAATCTGCTAGTGTCCAAGTGTTTCTTTCTTAACCTACAAAAGGGTAAGTACTTAAAAAAAGGGGGCGAAAATGAAAAATGCAAGGAAAACACATCATCCTACCGTCTCTGTGACTGTTGTGTGATATCTGCTAATTTATGAAACTTATGAGTGAACTTGTCAACATATCACTTGACTTCAAAAGATGTTACTATCCAATTTGCTTTGTCAGATCACTCTCCCCCCTATGCCCACTTTCTTTCTTAAACTTGTAATTGTGTAAATAGAGTTGTGAATTTTGAATAAGAATCTTTTACATGAGAAATATTTCTCTTCAAGCAATTTCAAACAAGTTAGATGTAGTTGTGAGTGTTTTACATTGTGTCAAATAATTGAATAGCTGCAATGATAACCAGTATTTTTCGCTACAGGCTGGATGCAATGGCTGCTAGGTCCGGAATCTGAAAGAAATATTATTTCAAAGGCAGTAAGTGATTTCTGTTCTTTAATAGAGGGGAAAAAAATATAAATAAGAGCAAATTTAACTACTATATCTAAAAGTCCCGTGAAAATATGCATGGAAATAAAGGCAACTTTATAATGATTTTAGTGCAATAGAATATCATTAATAGCCACAGGGTGCAATTTTTGGTAGCGTTTTGCTTCTTGTTAATCAGGCAATCTGCAAAAGGACATTTAGCTTTACATTAAAATTTTAAACGCCATTTTTTAGACACAATATTCCAATGAAGATTAATCTCATTCCAATTCATATCACTGACCGACCTCCCATACCATTCAATGTGACCGCTTTTTGTCCACAGGCTCAAGCGTTGAAAAACTCCCAACAAAGCCTTTGAATTTTACCCTTCACGGCAACTCGTCTTGCGTTCAAATAACCTACCTCATTGGATGTCAAGGCCGTTCCGTTTCCCCTCTTACTTTGAATGTGATCCGCCATCATATTGTCGCCTACTAAAGCATTGAAAAAATTAAACCTAAGTTTTTTTTTGGTCAGACATAGATATTATCTTATTAGATATAATCATGTTTGAAGTACTATCAGACACTAAATGTAGACAACCCTCCTAAAAAAAATTCCAACTTTAATTTCCCACATTACAGAGGACTACCTTTTAACACTAGAACTAACCTTAGAAGCACTCTCATTTGGTACCAGTGAATTAGAAAAAATAGGAAGAAAAACTTTAACAAGGTCAATTTAAAAAAAAAAAAAGAAAAAATAGGGTTATAAAATTTTAATAGAAGAAAAATTTTTAACTCCACTTTTTTAATTTTTTTAAAAAATTTCATTAAAATTTTTTCTCCCTTCCCGTCCCGTTCAATTCCCTTATACCAATCAGATCCTAATAGTTAAAAATTACGCATTATGGCCCATGGGACGATGAAAAGCAGGTGCGGTTTAGAGAGAGATTTCCAAACAAGTGGTAATTATAGTATATTTATTTAACTACTTATTAAGAGAGAATCTGACGTCATGTAAATTTACAAATGACCTTTTGTAAGCGCATGATTTCAAGTGCACCTTTCCATTCTTTCTAAGGAACAACAAAGGAAAAGAAAACTCAGTCCAAACAGGAACTTAACAGTACTTACATAGATGTAAACTTCGGATTTTGTAATTTTATCCCAAACTAGGAGTTGAATATATACATTCTTATTCTGACCAAAAAAAAAAGAAGAAGAAGAATATACACATTCTTATAACATACAACATTTAAGCACACTGATTACCCTCTATTATTATTACTACTACTACTACAGGGAGCACATCATGTTGTTCAATAACGGTGGGCTAACTTCTCCTTCTCCTTGTATTGTTGAACATACCTGCATCCGGTAGAAACAAGTACCGGTCATTAGCTATTTAATTCCTTTAATTAATACCCCAAAAAACCAAAAAAGTAAACATTTCGAATCCTCAGTCTTGACCGCTTAATTATTTATTGGATCCCGTAATTACATCTATTTATAAAGTATTTTTAACATATTTCAACACATCAATTCAATTTTACTAACTCTATTTTATAACTTTACCGGTATGTAATATATAAATATTTTAAAAAATAACTATTTACATAGTGATGGATAAAACAGTACATGTCAAAAATTAAATAAAGTGAGCTATAAATATAACAACAAAAAGGACATTTAATTTGTGTTATAGATAGGCACGGAGGAGTATTAATTAATTGATCGTTTCCCCATGTGATTACGGATCTAATGAATCAGAACGAGTCTTGGATTTAGAGCTCAAACAATAGCTATATTAGCGATCCCCATATTCAAAAGTTTGAGCTTTTAAAGTTTTCTTAAACATGAAAGACGCAGTATCATCGAGATTAATTAATTAGGACAGGAAGTGATGTTTTAAGCTAGTCCAGAATGAGCAGTTGTATAAGCTTCAACAATAAATTTCCATACAGAGATCTATCGAAGATTCTGCTCTAAGTAAAATTTCGCAGTTATTCAAACAGTTAATGAGCTATATTCATGCTCGCAGATTTTTTGTTCTAGTGGTTGATGAAAGAAAAGAATTAAAGAAAAGAAAAAAAGGCAGGGAGGGAGGAAAATTACGCGTAGGTGCCGACGAGGGGAGAGAGGAAGAGGACGGCGTTGAGCCAATTCTCGGAGACTTTTTGTTGGATCTTTCCGGGCAAGTCCTTGTACAGTCCGCTCATCACTTTCTGCTGAAACGGCGACAGCGCGTACACGACGGCCTTCATCCTCACCGGCTGCTTCCCCATTGTCGGACGATCTGAGAATGCGACGGAGCCACACTGGTGTCCTTCTCTGGTTCTGCTACTTTGAAATTCAATTCTTATAGCGACTCAAGCTCCCTCTAGAACCTCCGACACAGTTCTTTCTCCTCTTTCTTATAAAAATGGTCTTCCCTTCAAATGACCACGTCAGCTTTCTATCCACCGTGTCAATATCCCACACAGTCTAATGACTTTTTTTAAAAAATATATATATATTTATACGTGTGTGTGTATATATTTATATTATATATATATTTATATGATATATAGTTCAGTGACGGGAATGGAGACGTCCAGCGTCCCGCGCGCCCCATACTTTCTCGGAGCTGGGATTAGGACCGCCTGCTGCCGCCGCTTCTACTGTTTTTTAAATTTACCTTATTTCCCAAATACTACTGTAGTATATTTTTCTGCTTCTTTTGTTTATTAGATTTTATATAAGATGAGCAATATTTTAGGTATAGTTCTGAATTATTCACAATTAAAAAAACTCTAAAATTTTGTAGTTTCTTTTTAATGTAGATTTAAAAAAAAACTGTAAAAAATTCAGAACATCATATTTTTTTTCTATAAGATATCAAAATATCACTTATTTTATGCAGAATTCAGTTATTAAAAGAAACGGGAAAACACACGCGGAAAGTAGAAAAAATTTGAAGAGCAGCAAACACCTCGAGTCCTATGATCTATGTGTGTCCCGTTTTTCTTGGGCTAGGTTTGTCCTGCCCTAAAGTGACCGGGTCCGGATACTGGCTAATATATTGGCAACACGTGCAAAAATAATAAAAAAACATAGTTCGAGTCGTATCCAAAAACACTGTCTTTAAGAGTTATTCCGCCACACAGGTTAGAATAAAAGGCAGCACTCCCTATGATTAAACGAACCCTTCCTGCATAGACCAAGGTGACAGAACAGCAAAAATTTAAAACTCAGGAGAAGAGAGAAAGAAGGAGAGCTCGGGGATAGAACTTGACGCACACTGACCATACACCACACATTGCCTTTTATAGGCAGATAATATGTGACCGTTGGGCTGCTATAATGCTAATTAAATGTGATTTTAATGACAATTAAAAAAGCGGTTTTAAAACAACGAATTAAGATAAATTAAACCATTTTAAAGCCATTAAATCTAGTTAATAAAAGAATAAAACTGACTAATAAAAACACATAAATGCTTCAACAGTCATCTCTAACGGTCGGTTCTAAGGACTCCACTTCTCAGCTATTTTATTAGCTCAAGCTCATATCTTAGTAAATACTAAGGTTTTCTCAATCTTGAGTAATATGAGACTTCTTTTGACACACTCAGACTAAAACTCCAACAATCCCCCACATGTGTCAAAAGGAGCATTATCATCTGAGTTACACACATGGGTATAACCATTTCGAATTTGGTGTCTTTCGGACTATGAACCAGACTTAGATTAATAACAGTTAGTACACAGAGATGTCAGTTGCTTCTATGAACCAACAACTCTTGGTGTGTACTAGAGGCATTAAGAGTCAAATTATACCCCCACAATTTTCACTGTTAACGGTGGTTTTGCGCATTATAGCGGCCATGCACATGCCCAATTCTTAACAAATACTCTAGAGATTTCGCTATGATCTCATAGGAGCGGCCTCACTCCATATTCGTAGAGGTGATTTCATTAAGCGTACCTGCAATGAGCACACCATCCTGTAGGATTATGAAATCATTAAGAGCTTTGCTCAACTTCGCCAAGAAATACATTCTAGCACTTTCTCACATCAGGAAGGAACTATGAATTTATAATAGTGCCAGCAAAACTAACAGAAGACTTGTTTTCCCATTTGAACCTTTTTCATGGGGTCTCCAATCACAAAGGTTGGGTTTCCATCGTTGTTAATTTTATATTGGCTTAAGTCCCATTCCCCTTGATGTTTCTAAAATATGTTTCTTTCCCAAAGCTTTCATTAACGGATCCGCTAGGTCTATTTTTGACTTCACAAAATCGATTGAGATAACTTCACAATTTTTAAAGTAGCTTATTCACATAGCATCTCAAACGATATGTACTTGCACTATTGTTTCCTTTACAATGATTATTGCCATTTGGCAATCACAACTCATCGACACTAAGTGTCGGTTTTACACCGAAATATTTGCCAAGAGGTTTTCAACAACTTAGCTTTCAATCACTACTAAAGGTGAATGATCACTAATAGATTTTCTCATATAACTTGAAATTCAGTTAACATCTGTGTATTTCAATACACAGGGAATCCACCACACAAGATACCATCATTTATGGTACTTCTCAACATTTAATTTCCCTCATAGGACTTTATTTAAACATATGCTCAATCTTACAACACATGTTTTATCACTGAAACTAATTTAATTTAATGCAACAAATTCTCAAAAGGTTGAGCTATACAACTATCTCAAACAAGCATTATAGAAACATTCACATATTGGCTTTTAGGAACCAACCTTTGGAAACACTCCTCAACTTGAGAGATTTTGTCGCTACCTTGATGATATTTCAATACTCAAAAACACATTTATTTCACCTATGCTTCCGTTTAAATTTTGAAGCTTAAAAACATAATATTTCATATCCACATTAAAATTCAATATTCACAATAGTTATGCAAACTCATGCATATTTATACCAAGATAAACTATTTATCCACAAATAATAATATTATGAAAATTAAAGCATATTTATTTCTACACGAGATAAATGATTTAATTCTCAAGCCGCAAAAAACCTGATAATTCACAAAATTTGCTCTCAATAGCAAATCACAAAGCCTCCACTTTTTTTTTTTTTAAATCACAACACCCATATTGAGATTTGCAAAATGAGACTAACACAATTTGAAATAAATTAAAACATATTTTTCTCACCAATATTATTTCTGTAAGGTACCTAACATCTTAGGTACCCCCACACTTTGAAATATCTCATTTATCTATAACAATTTATTTTCATATCTCATCAATAATCTCATCAATAACAATTCTAATTAAGTTAGAATCAAAAGAAAATATCATTCTGATTTCACAAAAATGTCACAAAATCTCCAAAGTTAAAATATCCGCAACACAACTATATGGCTATTTGCATGTCAATATGCAAATTGTACCATCCCCTTAATTATATTCTCTTTTTAAATTAAATCAATGTGTGCACTGAAACACGATTTTTTTTTCCCGGCCCATTTAAATATTTTGTATATTAGTCAAATATTTCCCTGTATCACTAAAACAACAATGCATGTCTTCATGCCACTTCTAAATGATTCATCACTTTTGAATACAAAGTAGACATCTTGTCTTTTTTTTTTTTACCAGAAGTAGACATCTTGTCAATGTCTATATAACCGAAAGTCTTTCATAATGAAAATAAACAAATAAATGACAATGATTTCGCATGCAATGATCCGAACGACACCATGAGTATCAGTTACTACAAAACTAAATTTGCTTCTACAGGACTAACGGCAACATATCTAACAAATATTATTGAAATCAATTTAATGTATTCATCCATCAAAAGCAATTGAACCTCCAAGACTCCAACGGAAAGAACTAAATTCACCAATGAATCATTCTCATCAACATATATAAGGCAATAAAACCTCCAACCTCGAACGTCAATAATATTTTAAGTATGGAGGTTATGAAAATTAATGTAATTTAATAATGTCTTTTAAGATAACCATTAACTTTCAAACTTCCAACAAGACAACCATGAAACCATCATGCCATGAACGCCTAAGTGATCATTAATGAACAAAATATATACCGGAAAACTTCATCGTTTATTTGTTTTTACATTCCATAATCATAATATTTAATTTTTATCAAAATTGCCATCACCGCCACAATTACTAACGTATTTTCCAAAGATGTGAGGAGCTATTTTATAATATTATTTTTCCTTATTAAAAACTGATTAAGTCCAGCACTGTTCACATCCACTTAGGCAATTCTTGTTACTCACCAAATGTCAATAATGGTTACATGATCACCCAGTATTTTATTGCCAAAACCGAAAAACAACTTTGATTATATTCCTCGCAGTCACAGACATATCAGTAAAATCATTCAATGTATTCATTATCCAAAACCGATAAAGCCATACAAATAATCATCAATATTGTTGTTGGCACCATTCAATACTCCAGCGATTAATAGGCTTTTAGAGTATTGGTAATTTACATAACGGAGACATATAATAAGCCAACGTATGAAACCATCCCGCTTTCCAAAGGGAAAAAAGACTTTAAAAATATAGTATTTATAACAATCACGAAGACTTATTCAGTATTTGTGCTATGAAGCCACCTTAATAATCATATTTACTAACCATGATAAAGATCTCGTATCATTCAAACATACATATATATTAATATATACATACACACATATGAACACTGTCATAAAGGCAAGTTTCAAGATAGAGACGCACCTGCCTAGCAATCATTTGTCGACCTCTCTCTGATGATCTAAGAATTCTCAAAGCATAAGATTCACATGTGGACAGGTGTGTGGTCTCACAAAGATTAAGACGAATCCGGTAGGAGGGAAAATTCGGCACTTAACCATGGTAGTAATAATCACAGCCCACCATGAGCATCACTTCATTTTAATGTGCTTTCACCAGTCACCGTGAATGGCATAGGCCATACCCCTCTTCTCCAATATCATCAGACCTGTAACATCTCGTCACTTTGTGTTCACACCCACCAATGTCCACATCTCCTCATATACACCAACCAAATGAATTGGAGCTCAAATATGTGAGCTAAACCTCAATGCTCCAGTCATCTCTGGCCTTTATGGCACCAGAGGTTCATCCCCTTCCATCTCAATCCTGCGAGAGAGATGAAGAATAGCCCATTGGCCAATTTCTTCATTGTGAGGTCTCAAAAGTATCTTGAACTGATGCTCAAAACATAAGATCCAACTCATCAATGTTCCTCTCACACAAGGGAACAACCAAATTCATATAAAATAAAATTGTTAAATTAGGACAAAGTTCAGAGGCTTCCCTATATGATCACTTTGATGTTGATGGGTGCTAAAACAGCTAACTCTGCGATTGAGTTGTATCTTCAGTGTGACATAACTCTTAAGATTGTTGGCAACACCTGCAAAAATAATAAAAAAATATGGTTCGAGTAGCGTCTAAAG